CTGTCCAGATGTGGAATGTATTGAAGGAAGTTCATGAGTCTTCTGGTTGGGCTAACTGGATGACATTGCTTCGACAATTTGTTTCATTAAAGAAGGATGAAGACCTTCCAGATTATCCTCCTGCGGGTATGCAGGATCACATTAACAAATTCACACAGATTGATCAGTCTCTCAAGGCTATTGGTATTAATCTTGATGACACCCTTCACATGACCATTCTCCTTGCCAGCCTTCCTGCTTCATATGAAAATGTCGTCACTGCCATTGAGTCATATATTGAGACTCAGATGCCATTGGCAGCTACTGCTGCCACTGCTGTTGCCCCTGCTGTTCCTGCCACTGTCACCACTAGTTCCCCCAGACCTGATTTTGATTATGTTACATGTCGGCTACTCAATGAAGAGTGCAAATGTATTCTGGAGTATCAGCAGACCCATAATATCACTGAGAGTGATATGAATTCTTGACCCTTCAAAGGAAATGTTGCATTGGCTGCTGCATCTTCCTGCTGCACCCCATTAAAGGATGTCACTTGTTTTAATTGTCACAAGAAAGGACATTATTGGAACAATTGTCCTGACTTGGTGAAAGGGGGAGCAACCACTTCTGTTTTTGCATCCATTCCTGAACCAGATTTTGCATTTTAGTTGCACCAGATTGAGGGGGAGTGTTGTATTTCTCAGATTAACATTACTAATACAATCCGGCACATGTAGTTCCAAGTTGGATTACTCACCTACTGCAGACAGTATTACTCAGATATTAATAGTAGAAGTATGTAGAACTTTCTAGATACTATGTTATGTAGTATATAAGGCCTACCTTGAGGCCAGTACCATAGAACAGAATAATCATTTGTATCCAATATTTGAGTCTCACAACTCTTATCAAACCACTGTGCCACATTGCTACAAAACTCTGCTCCAAAGCCAAACACTATGATTAAATGCTTCTGGTCACAAGAATTTAGGCAACCTGGAACCAGTCAAGAGTGCCCTTGCATTGGGCAAGCAAATTCCAATGACATGTTCTGCTAGACCATTTGACTTCAACAAGTTGTGTACATTAAGTAGTGTACATTGAGGTGACAAATTGTGCCGGCTTGAGATAAATAAGTGCAAAATTCTTCACTCATGAACTTGCTGCCTCGATCTGATCCAAAAGTCTTTATTGCAGAAATACCTCAATGATTTTTTGCAAAGGCCTCAAAAGCCTTGTAGTTTTTGAAGGCTTCCAACTTGGCCTTCAGGAAATAGGGCCAAATCTTGTGGGAGGTGAGGTCAATAACTTGCTGGAAGTATAGGCTTCAAGAGAGACTCTGGATACTGGCAGGTCCCCATTGGTCAGATACAACTTTATCACTGCAGTTCTTATACTTTGTCTGACTCTCCTTAGGGAAGGGTTGACAGACTGCTTTAGCCTTCACACAAACACTGCAAAATGGCTTTATACTGTCAATGTCAATGTCTGGGAGATCTTTGGCAAGACAATTTTTGAGGATAGTGATACAGGTGTCAAAGTTAATATGTCCCATAGGATAATGGAACTCTAGCAAGGTGAGTTTTTTCTTTGATGCAATACTGGTGACCTGAACTGGATCCTCTTTGATGCAATAGAGACCTCAGATGTTGGGAATACAAGTGATGACTGTAGATGCAGGCTTTGGTGAGCAAATTGTGCAGATTCCACCACTAATTTTGAGTGAATATCTAGCTTGGTTGAGTCTCGATACAGAAATAAGGGTATAGGACATTGTTGGTGTATGGAGGACATTCTTCAAACAAATCACCATAGGTTTTTGATTCTTTCCCTTAGGGAAATTTACACCCATGTTTCCCTTTCCAACTGTCATGAATTCACAATTGTCTGCAGCATGAGCAGGCTCTGGGCTTGTTTTGATGAAGTCAGTTAAGGATTGGCGATCAGGAGTAAAATGACTGCTCACTCCCATATCAATGATTTTGGCATAGATAGGTCCTTGAATACTTGCATGTAAAGCTGCAGGATAATCAAGGTTGCAGGTGTTGAGTGTGAGGAAGGAATAGTCATCAATATTGAAGTCATTTACTTGATGTGACTCATCAACAATAGCGGAGAATGCATAGTTCTCTGCTTGGGCCTCTTCCGCAACATTTGCAGCTTTCAGTTTGTTTCCTTTACCATGTCTCTTCTGCCAAGGTGCCTGACCCTCATGTCTGCCTCCTTTGCTATAGCACATCTCAGCTATATGTCCCTTTTTGTCACAGTTTGAGCAGTGAAGACTTGACTTGTGGACTTGGGGGCTACCACCTTTAGATGAAAGGGGACTCTTTGATCCCTTTGAAAATTGCATACCGGTGTAACTCTTCCCACTAGCTATCATCACTGCATTCTGGATGGCTTTACTAGCCTTCTTCTGCAATGCGCATCCATTGTACTCCTTGAGGATAGAAGCAGTAAGAGAGGTGACAGTAACAGTTCCACTGGCAGAAGTAATTCCAGCTGTAACTGTGCAAGTGATGGATTGGTAGGATTCAGGAAGGGAGAGCTTGAGGTATGCAATATAGGTCCCATCGGGGAGTGGTTGACCCATAGCGGCAAGAGACTCCTTAATATTGTCCATCTTGTTGAGATGAGCATGGAGGTCATCATCCTTGCTGCACCAAGTAGCTTGAAAAGTTGTGAGGAGAGATGTATGAGTTAAGTCTCCTTTCTTCTCAAAGAGTTGACAGAGTTTATTCCAGGCATTGTGGGTGGAGGATTCACTCTTAATATTGTTGAGAGTGCTTTCCATCAGGAAAAATAGCTTGAGCTTGGGGTTACATTATAACAACCTCAAGAAACCTAAGAAGCATAGGACACTTCAAGTACTTAGGTTACCTAGGTTTCCACAGTCCAACCCCTATATCCTAGGATGCCCTAGGTTGTTCTAGGTTGTCTGAGGTTGCCCCAGGTTGGCTCAGGTTACCTGAGGTTACCCCAGGTTGCATAAAGGGTTAATAAGTAAAAATAATATATTTTTATATATTACTGTTTGTACTCTATTCTACTGTATATAGTGAGCTATTGTACTTGTATAGTAGTAGTAGTATTGAACTTGTACATATTTTATGTATAGTATATATGGTGTACATTATTATACTTTATAATGTATTACAGAATACTAGTATTAACCTAATATACTCAAGTACAGTATTTCAGTACAGTAAAGAGCTTATACATGTACATATAGTGTGTATATAGTATGGTATAATTGTGATATACTTGTTTTGACC